TTTATATATGTATTGATCAAACCTAGAAACAACTGGGTTGATTTCTCTCTCTCTTTCTCTGTCACCTTTGTGGGGAAGACTGTGGTTGGATGTCTGGTGTGCCTGTCCAGTCTGGTATCAAGAATTAAAGCCAGTGGGCACATTCAAGCTCCCGGTGCATGGCTCCTTTAGCTTTAAAACAGGTGTGGATAGGAGAACCTTTCAAGCAGTCAGTTGCCCACTGTAAAGCAGGTATCCTAGGTTTATAATAGAGTTTTTCAAGTCCTTCAAATAGAGGTTGCCCCAAAGAGAAAGTTGTCTTCTGGAAAGAAGGATGCATGCCCCCCCCCCCCCCATGAGCAGTGGTTCTTACATCCCTGTGAAATGCTGTAGGTTAGGCTGAGATAGTGACTGAACTGAAGGTCGCCTTGCGAGCTTCATAACGGTGTGGTGCTTTGAACCTTGGCTGGCCCACTCCAGTTGAACAACACTGCAATGGCTACACCACCTGGAGTCCATGTGAGAGCTTGGAATGTGCAGGGTATCTGTGCGTGCATGGAAGCCATGTTGCATCTGCTGCAGGTGAGGTGCATCCAGTGTTGGGTGGAAGGGAGGTGCTGCCACCAGTTCAGCAGCGCCTCCTTGAGCTGTGCTTGGCCCAGTAGAACACAGCAAGCTATCTTCCACTGAGTCAGACCACTGGTGGGTCAACTCAGGGCTGTGCTCTGTGCGGTTTAGGCTGGGGTTGAATCTGGTATCATTGACATGCAAAGTGTATTCCGCCAGCATTATATATGCATCACTAAACAACAGCTCATTCTCATGAGGGTGAATGATGACCATTCACTTATGTAGGAGCAAGTAAAAATCCCTTTTGGGATGTGAGATGGTTGAAAGGCTAAACTCCTTGCTCCTGAATAATCCCCAGACATTACTAAAGAGGCTTGCTCCAATCTGCATTGCCCCGTCTATGGTTGCTCAGCCTCCTACTAAGTGCAGTTTCTGGGACGTGAACACGTGTGACAGCACTTTTGGAATGAAGTGAATTGGCAGGACAATTCTTGAGGAGGTAGCTGGGCTGGCAGCCCTGGGTCAGTAGCCTACAGCATAGCCGCCTGTGGATGGCTCTACATTGTCTCGGTAAAGAAGGTAAAGATTCTGCAAAGTATGACAGGACCTTGGACACTGAACTTCAGGCCTGGCTGGCTGGCATAATCCCTCCTAAGAAGAGGGATTTTCCCAGTAAAAAGCTGTGGGCAACTGGGACCTTACGAAGGACTGCCAGTAGCTTTTACCCCGTGGGCTGTGAAGGCTGGGGAACATGCAGCCTGTAGGATGAATGAGCTTCTGCTGCCACCCAAATTTTGATTGTAAATGACTGGATTAATGACATCCATAGTGGTTCCAGAATACCTAAAGTGTCAAACATAGCTCATTTGCAGGGAAAAATCAATGCTTCACATGTACCATAGGAGCTGCAGAGAAACCAAGGGGTTAAATTTAGCTGGCAAATGAGATCCTTCTCTCTCTCTCAGTGCTCCATAACCCATACAAAGTGGGGTTGCAGTGGAAGGGAAGTGGGCGGAGATTAGGTAAATTGGCCTTGCACACATGCCCACCCTGACTTAAAGGGTGCATGCGTTTATCTGTAGCTTCTGACTCCTGAGAGGGAGAGGAGAAGTTGGGGAGTCACTGTTGGAAACTGAGGCTCATCAGAAGCCTCTGCTCTTAGCCTGGAGCTTCTCCCTGAAGTGGAGTGATCAGGGACTCTGCTAGTCCTCTCTGGGATGGGGCAATGTCCCTGAGTCCAGAGACATGCTAGGAGGAAGGGCCAGAGTTAGCCTTGCTGGCTTCCCTTGAAAAATGCCCTGTTGCCACACACGCATCACTTCTGCTTGACTTCTTCTTCCAGGCATGAGTGTGCAGGTGTGCGTGTGGTGAGATGTGAACAATTACTCCATGCAGCCTAGTGCAATTTGTTAATATTCGTGCCAGCAGGGATCATTCAGAAGTACAGAGCTGGCTGGTCTCACACTGGCCACCAGTCAGTAACCACCCAGCTGCTCTGTATTCTTTTCTCTTTTCAGCAGCTCTGATAACGGTCCTGGTTTTCAATCAGCAGGCTGCTTGTCCTAAACCATCAGCCCAGCCAGCTTTTATCTGTGATTTGCTTCTTTTTCCAAAGGCAATTGCTGGGCTCTGATAGATTCAGGGTTTTCTTTCCCTTTCCTTTCCTTTTTGGTGAAAGCATTATTTACCAGGAAGGAGGCCAGCCTTGGAGCATCAGGAACTGGTGGGAGCCTTTGCTCTGGAATTTCACTTCTGCTTGGCTGCCAAGTGGATGCCCAATAAATAGTGGTTGAGTGGCAGTAAAATATTTATTTCCTACTGCAGCTTGATAATTGGTTTGGTGTGAAAGTTAATATGATTTATCAGAGGCTTTTGTTTATAAAGAGATTACAGTCTAACAAAGCTGCAGGCCTGCTGAGCTTTGAAGATGCAAGTATGTAGCAGGACTTCCCAAATGTGGATATACAAAAAAACGCTTTGCTCCAAAAGGACAGGAGGTGGGAGAAAATCTGACGTGAGACCAGCTTTGGAGGACTAGGAAGCATCTTACTTGTTTCCTTCAACATCCCACCTATGGCCTTCCTGCTCCATTCCGCTTGGCCCCTGGTCTGGAAGCACCTGACCTCCACCTCTCAAGCTCAGGTTCTTTGGCTTTACAATGAGGGAAGGTGATGTGAGTTCTGGTGTCTATCAATTTCTTAGCATGTTCAAAGTAGCAGACCTAGAAGAAAGAGTGCAGAAAAGTGGGCCAAGGGCTTTGGCTCAAAAGCAGGAGCATCTTGAGGGTTAGCACCACCCTTGAGAGGGGCCAGGTTGTGAATATTGAAGAAATCCACAGTAGGTCAATGGCATTGACTATGAATCTGGCCTGCATGTTCTACAGTTGCCTAGCCCTTTCTAAGATGAGCACATTTATAGACTATGCACACAAACACAGCTGGGGGAGGGGGGTGTTGTACGAATAACAGCCAGTTTGGTGTAGTGGTTAAGAGCATGGTACTGGGACTCGGGAGATCTGGGTCCTAGTCCCAACTCATTGGGGCTCACTGGAGCTCACTGGAGCTCACTGGGGGACTTTAGGCCAGTCACAGACTTGCAGCCCAACCTCTCTCACATGGTGGTTGTTGTGAGGATAGGCTTGAGAGGAGGAGGAGAATTATGTAAGCTGCCTTGAGTTCCTTGAAGAGGAAAAATGTAGGACATAAATATAATCAATCAATCAATCAATCACCCATTAGTGCAAGGTTGCATTAGTACACCTGTGTGCTTCCACAAATGCACATTAGCACACTTGTGCATCTGAAAGTAGGAACACATCTGCCATACATCTCTAAGAAAAGAAGCTCCAGTTCTTCATTGATGTTAATAACCTTAGGCCAGTAGCCAATATTCCCTTCCTTGGCAAGGTGCCAGCCAGTCAACCTGAAGTACTCTTGAAATAAATGGATTATCTCGATCCCTTTCTGTCAGGCTTCAGGCTTGGTTTTGGAACAGAGACTGCCTTGCTTGCCCTGTTGGATGACATTTGCCCTGCCAGTCCTCTTGGACAGAAGTGTGACCCTGCCAGTCCTCCTGGGCTTTGCAGCAGCCTTCAGCAGCATTGACCATGGTCTCCTCGATTGGCAGTATCAAGCACTGAATTGCTGTGGTGCCAGCTCTACTTGGACGGCCAGTTTCAGAAGGCAGTGCTGGGGGAGCATTGCTCTGTGCCTTGGCAGCATGCTATGGGGTCCCACAGGGTTCAGTTTTATCCTGCATGCTGTCTAGCATCTACATGAAACCTCTAGGGAAGGTTGTATGTTGGTGTGGGCTGAAGTGTCACCAGTATGGAGATGATACCCAGCTCTGTCTCTCCTTTGCCTCAAATTCAGGTGAGGCAGTGGCTGGTTGGAATCAGTGCCTGGGCATAGTAATGGACTGGATGAGGTCCAATAAATAGATTCAGTCCAGACAAGACAGAGCCGCTGCTAGTCGATGGCTTGCTGGCCTGACTGAGTGATTTTCAACCTGTTCTGGTAGGGGTTGTGCTCCCGCTAAAGATTCAGGTTTGTTGTTTGGGGAATGCTCCTCGATCCAGCACTGTTGCTGGATGCGCAGATGGATTTGGTGGCAGGGAGAAACTTTCATCAGCTTAAATTTGCCATCTGTTGGATGACAGGCTGAGACAGCTGAAGGCCTATAAGAGAAGACAGGTGTGTGGCTACTAGGAAGAGCTCCTCTTCTGTTGCGGCACCCCAGCTTTGAATTGACCTCTTCAGGGAGGCCCACTGGGCACCGACATTGTACTCTTTCCAGTACTGGGCAAAGAGCTTAGTTTCCCAGGAATTTTAGCTTCAGACTATTTTGAATTGTATATTGCATTTTAAATCTTTGTATTGCTGTGAGGTTTATTTCTAGTTTTCACTCTTGTACTGTTCATAATTTAAACCTTTATGCTGTATTTGATACCCTATTTTATGTCTTAAATCTCTGTGAACCACCCAGAGATCTTCAGCTACTGCGGGGTATACCCATGCAATAAATAAATGGATTCAGTCAATGAACAGACAGTGGGTTGTCAGGCGTGTTTCATTCCCTCAAACACAAATGGAATGGATTCAACAAAATGGGCTCTTCTGGCATGTAGAAGTAACCAGAGTAAAATCTGGAGGGATGCAGTCAAGAGTAAAGCATCTGTAATTTCACATATCACACATGCTACAGAGTCATTTGGTCAGTGCAAATCAGTGTAACTCTAGTGCAAAGCTAGAGGGCTAATTGCCTATCTGAGCCAAACGTGATAGACAAAGCCTTCCAAGCTGGTATAGAATCATGAAATGCCGATGATTTTCTGTGGAGCACTTCTGCTGGTTTGCAGTAGCTAGGGGACTGCAACAGAGATTATGAAGCCAAAGGTTACAGAAATTATGGAAGAAAATGATGTTTCTCTTCTTTTTCTTTTCTTTCCCCAGGGCAGCAGTTGAAACTCTGGCAGCTTTGTTGAAATCAAGTAAGCTTTTCTACCTTCTTATGGTTTCTTTCTTTCCCTTTGCTGGGCTTTCTGTGTAGGTGAAAGTGTTCCCCCCTCCCAAAGGCATCTCCATCCCTTTCCTCCTTCATCCTAATCAGTACTGCTTGTCTGAGAGTGCAATAGAGCACAAAGGACTAACTCCGTGGAAAGGAGGAAAGGTGCATGAGCTATTTAGGCCACATCCTAGCTTACCTACTACATTTCAAATTGCATAACTTGTACCTTCAGTAAGAGGATTGCCAGTGCCAGTTCTAAAATGGCAAGCGCAATATTTCAAGCATGCTTGTGCCTGTGAAGATGCCATTCTCCTAGGTTGCACCACTGGCCCCTTAGTGTCCATTCAGACTGGAATGTGTGTGCGTGTGTGCGTGTGTAGGAACCATGGCTCATTATCTGGTTCACTAGGAGAGCTTCCAGTTTGGAGGATCCTGGTCTGGACACAGCAATGGATGCTTGGTCTGGTTGTTTGTAGGTCCAGAGTAAAGATGAATATGAGGGAAAGTCACAGAAGTAGGGAGCTGCTGTTTGCATCTTGCAAAGGCATCCCTTCTTGCAGTGTTCATGAAGGGCAGTTCTGGACCAGAATGTGAAAGATGCTGATGCTACTCAATGTATCTGGGCTTGGATAGTCACCCATCCATTTCTTACATTTATATCACACTTTTCCCCTGCATGGAACCCAAGGCAGCTACAGAATCCTCCTCCTCTCCATTTTATCCTAACCACAACCCTGTGAGATGGGTTGCACTGAGAATGGCGACCAGCCTGAAGTCACCCAGTGAGCAGAGCGGGGATCTGAAAACTCTCTTACACCACACTGTGGGTGTTAAACTTTGAGGACTCATAAGGCCTGCTTCAAAGAGAAAGGCAAATATAGCACCCCAGATTCTGCTCTGGCTCTAAGTAACTAGTCTGAGCTTGAAAATAATGCCAGTGTACACCCATTTTCTCACTCTGCCTCAAACCTTTTCCACTCAGTCAGCTTCTGAATCAACAGCCCCTTCTCCTTCCCCTCAAAACCAAACTTAGCTGGCTGAGCCAGCCGTGACAGCTCTCTGCCACTGGGGAGAGGGAAGAGGGTCTCTCCCTCCTTCCACTCTCGGGGACACCAGGATGAAAATCCTTTTCCCAGGGCCACTGTGACGCAACTTTCCTGAGGGCTGCAGGCATTTCCACGGTTCCCCCGGCCCTTTGCCTCGGGGTCTGCGCTGCAGAGCCCGGCATGGGAGGAAGGCCGTCCCCTTTCCTTGTGGCTTGAGTGCTGCTGGGGTCAGCTACATGGTGCTGCCATCTCTAGGGCAGCTCCGGGGGCAGCGTTTCAGGGACCCTGCTGTGGGTGGGCAGGAGAGGCTTGGAGGGAGTCCAATTGGATTAGAAATGGATTGGCTTAGAAGTGATTTTCCTGGGTTGGGGCGGTGGGGGGAAGGAGGAAGAATAGCCTCCGCTTATTTTGGATCTGGCTTCACTCAGCTGGGGAAAAGGCAGGCCAAACGTGGCCCCTGAATGCCAGTGTTTGGAAGCGCTGAGCTGTGACAGTGCGCGTTTAACACCCGAAGTCTCTCCTGTCAGGAGGAAAGCCTCTTGTTTGAGCCCAGGCACACTCAGAAGGAATGTTCTTGAAGAGAATGTTATACCCTATTATGCCTCTCTCCCATCTAAAAACACTTAGCCTTTTAGTACCAGAATTTAATAAAGCTTTGATTAAGAAAGAGTGCTCCACCATTGCAGACAATCTTCCCGACAATAAATCACAATGCCATATTGTCCTTTCCCTCTTTCACCCACGATCTGCTTCTCCTCTCCACCACCCCGGCCTCTCTTTCTCTCTCCTTTTCATGAGCGTCAGGAATGAATGCATTGTGAGGAACTGGAGCCCCAGAATCTGCACTTCATTGCATCTGTTGGAGTTCTCAAGTTGCAAATAATACTCCACCATTAACCTTCATGCCCAGACTTAAAGTTCAAATTATTACAACGAGGAAGCACCTTCTGCTTCAGACTCTAAATCTTAATCAAGGGGATGGCTGGGCTGCTCCAGGGCTGCCTTCACCCTTTGAAAAGCCAAAATTAGAATTAGAAAAGGTGGAGTTCAGGGAGGTGAAGAAATGAATGGAATGGAAAGGGAGCAGTTTTGCACGTAGCCCAGTGTTCCTTCAGTTCTCTTTTGCTGGCCACTTGCAGGGCTTTGGTATAGAATAACTGAAGCATAAAGTTGAAGAGTACCCTGGAGATCATCTAGTCCAGCCCCTTCCTCAACATAGGCTCTGCAGTGAAGGATGCAGCTAAAATATCCTGGACAGGTAGCCAGCAAGCCTCTGCTTAAATACCTCTGGTGGAAGAGAGACCCAGGCACCTTTTCCATTGCTGACCAGCTCTCACTGTGAGGAAGGTGCCTCTAAGGTTTAGCTGAAATAGTGACTGTCTCTAAAGCACAGTTAGAGTAGAAAATGAAAATTGGGACCAAAAGCAGTCTTACAACTGCTGGCATGGCCAGCTGTAGGCCTTCTTTTCCCCCTAGGCATTCATAGGAATGTGCCCTGAGTCCCATCATGCTTCAGAGGCCTTCCCTCTCTCCCCTGTCACTTCACTTCTCTCTGTGGTGATCACAATTTTCTGCAGTAGTTTTTAAAAGTTAATAGGCTGTGTGGCAGTTTGTTTGTAAGTATGGGTTGTTTGTAACTTGGCCATTCATAACCTGGGGACTGCCTGTATATATAATTACGCAGTAATACAAATACAATTGGAAACATGCATACACTTCAGTAATGGTGGAACAAATATCTTTGTATTTGTCCATCAACAGCTGGCATCGAAATACTATGTATTTGAATATTGAAAACCTTGTTAGGTCTTCACTCCATTTGGTTATAGAAGGTGGACCTGTATATTTCAGGCATTGTATTAACAGTCTTTTCACTGCCAAAAGATGGAGATTTTGGGGGGATAAATTCCAAACAGCAAGGAATTTTTGATATTTTAAAAGATCGAGTATATTATATTAAAGAGCATTCTCATACTCATTTATCCATACTATGGCATCTGCCCAAAAAGAAACAACAAGTAGTATCAGAGGCAGTATGCTTCCAAATACCAGCACTAAGCCACTGTGTGTCTGCGTGCATGTACTTTTGCACCTGTGATTACTGTGGAGAACATGATGCTGCTGAAAGAGCATGGCTATCAGGATGTGCTCATTCACTGTGTGGTTGCCTGTTGGCTGGGAGCACCCATGTGGCTAATCTGGCCAGGGTGAAGAAGCAGACGCCAACACAAACATTAGCATTCAGGACCTCTATTTCAGCCATGTATGCATCAAAAAGCTTCCTGTAGGAGTTCTTTTGATTAGGCTTATCAAGTATGGCTTATTAAATTTCATTTCAATGTTCATGAAGATGTCTAGCCTGGTATGAGCCCATAGTTTGAAGGTACAACACGTGCTTTGCATACAGAAGTTGCCAAGTTATATGCAAGACTCCTTCAGTTGAAAGGGATTTCAGACAGCAGATCAGCCTTCCACAACTTGGTGCCCTCCAGATGCTTTGGAAGCCACTCCCTGCCAGTATAGGCAAGAGTGAGAAATTCTGAGCTGTCGTCTAAAGCATCACAGGGTCAGGGATATTACTAGGCTAATTGGACCAGTAATCTGACTCAGCTTTGTAAGCGTGCAAGACTGCATAAGGTTACAGAAGACTGAAGACATGGCTGCCTGAAGAATACCTGAAGGACTGTGACATATGAGGGCAAAGAGTTTTTCTCTGCTGCCACCGCAAAGGGTGGCACTACATAAAAAGAGTGTAAATTAATAGTACATAAAGTTTTGGTTGACAGTTAGGAGAAACTTCTTGGTGGAAGGAGAGGTTTGACAATTGAACCAATTGTACTGGTAGTGGTGGTAAGGAGGGTCCTCCTCGTTGAAGGTCTAACAGAGACCAAGAAAGCCATCTCTCGGGGATGCTGTGATCTCAACTAAGCAGATGGTAGCAACTTACAGCCTACAAAACTCCTCTGTAGCTCCTACCCTTTCTGGGCATTTTCTTTGAATGGATGAAGACCATGAGATGCTCTCAACAATCTCAGTTGCACACCAGGTGTGCTGTGTGTGTGCGTAAAGGCTGTTAGACTTGAAATCCTTCCCACAATTTTGCAGAGTTCCCAGTTGTGGGGAGGAGTCTAGAGGTTTTCAGCAGAAGGGACTTGGCATCCCTCTTCAGATCTGTGTGCTCAGAGCCCAAAGAACTCTAGTGTCTATGCAGAAATAGGGGGTAAGGCTTTTGTACTGCCCCTGTGCCCTCTTCCTGCACTTGCAGTGAATGCCTGAAGATTGCTTCCATGATGCTTCCAACATTTTTTTTTGTAGATGCAACTCTGTGCACATAGAATGGCCTCTCAGTTCTTTATGAGTAGCTATTAGCCTCTTTAGAACCATCCTATTGTTGCTTCCAGAAGATCTTCAAAACAGAAAGAGCTCTTGGTTCTTCCAGATCACTTAATCTGGACTCAACCTCTCTATGGTATCCCTGCTGTGTTCAGCATCAGTACTGTTGTGGCTGGCACAGAATGGAAATGGAAAGCATTACATGGCCGTAGCACTGCATGGCGTGTCTTGTATTCTCACTGGTAGTGTAGATGTGGCATTGACACAACACCTGGTTTAACATGCACTGCAGGGAGGACTGTGTGTGTGGTAGAAAAATTCCCCACGTCAGGTTTTGTTCACCCTCTGGTACATCTGTGCATGCTTGTGCATGAGTACTGCAGCACGATTGAAAGCAGCAGACCCGGCACTGCCATTCTTGATACAAAAGGCAAGTCAAAAGATTAGCTTTCTAGTTTTGAGTCTCAGAAAAAATAAGGAAAGGCCAAAGGAGGCAGAGAGACAGTGTGTGTGTAGCAGGGCCTTTGTTGAGTAGGAATACAATAGGGAAGAGGTGGAATTGGTGAGAGAGTTGGGGCTCACCGACAGAGCTTATATTGCAGGC